AATACTAAATAGATTGTTTTATTTATAAAATATTACAAAATTAGAGTTGGATCGACCCAGTTTTCATCTCTCTTATGAAGCAGTCCGGTCCATAAGTCAGTCCTTAGACCTGTCATAATAGTTTACTATAACAATAATATCTAAAATGAAAATATCAAAATAACGAGATTAAGAAGGTGCAGGAATCATTTCGTATGCAATTATTTTTTATTTAATTTATACAATTATTTTATTAAATTGATCATTTATATTTTTTTAGTATGTTCTAAACCGATCCTTGAACCAGTCTTATAAATCGGTCAGGTTCGAGAAAAAACCAAATCTTGGACTGGACCGGACTGATAGGACTGAATGGTACAAGACCGGTTTTAGGACTGACTTATAGACCAGTCCAGTTCAAAGAAAGATGAAAGACCAGTTTTTTTGGTCTGATCCAACCCTATCAACATGACGAAGATAAACTAATTTGAATTTTTTTTATTTTTTTTTAAATAAATTTTTTTTAATATTTTTTTATTAATTGTTTTTTTTTTATTTATTTAAGTTTGATTAGGTTCTTCTTTTAGACTAAAAACTGAATAGAACCTTCAAATAATTTATTACCATAGCGAAAGTAAAGCATTTATTTTATTTTTATTTTTTTTAGTTTATATTTATTTTTATTTATTTATATATTTTTTTAGTTTTTTATTTATTCTTTTATTTTTTTTAGATTTGATCAGTTTTTTTACTTAGATTAAGAACTAGATAAAACTTTTAAATGGAATTATTTAATTTATCACCATGATGAAGATAAGCCATGTATTTTATTTTATTATTTTAGTCATATTTATTTTTATTTATATATATATATATTATTTAATATTTTACTAATTCATTTATTTTATTTAGATTCAATCAGTTTCTTCATTTAGCGATGAATCAGAATGAATCTTTGAATAAACTATCTGATTTGTCATTAAGATGAAGGTAAACTGTGTATTTTATTTTATTTTTTTTATTTAGCTAAAAACTAGATAGAACCTTTGAATAGAATCGTCTAGTTTGTCTCTGAGGCAAAAATAAATCATTATTTTATTTTATTTTTTTTTGTTTATATTTATTTATATTTATTTATATTTTTTTTAATATTTTAATATTTTATTTTCTTTTTTTTTAAGTTTGATCAGTTCCTTTACTTTGATTAGAAACCTTAAAATAGAATTGTTTACAGCAAAGATAAGCTGATTAATTTTAATTAAATAATTTCTTTTTTTTATTCTTATATATTTTAGGTTAGTTCAATATTATCTCTACTATTTCTTAGGCTAAAAATTGAATAGAACCTTTGAATAGAACTATCTGATTCATTATCATAGTGAAGGTAAGCTAACTAATTTTTTTTGATTTATTAATTTTTTTATTTTTTTTATTTTAGTAATTAATTTTGATTATTAATTTTATTTATTTTATTTTATTTATTTGTTTTAGACAGTTTTAGGATAAATCATTGGTGATTTTTTTATTTTTTTTAGGTTAGATCAGTTCATCCTTTTGGCTTAAATTATCAGATAAAACAGGATTTTCATTCTACAGCATATGTTTTTGATAAATTCTTTCATTATTTTAATTATTAGTAATTATTAGTAATTATAATCATTCAGTTCTAATTTTTTTTTAAAATCATATATAAACAACAGTTATTTCTATTAATATTGATATTGAAATTGAAATTGATATTGATATTAATATTGATATTGAAATTAAAATTGATATTGATATTAATATTGATATTAAAATTAAAATTGATATTGATATTAATATTGATATTGAAATTAAAATTGATATTGATATTAATATTGATATCAATATAAATTAAAATAACCCCTATAGTTCCTGTATGAAGCTAACTAAATTTATTCCTATTCCTTCCTTTTCAAGAATAGCCATAGCTTTCACTATATAAAGTAGAATTACCTGATACTAATATCTATATGGTATAAACTGTATATAGTATTAATTTAATATTAATCAATTTTATAGATCATTTTTTAATATTAAATCTATTGTTAATTTTTATTTTTTATTTTTAATTCCTAATTTATTTCTAAATATTTTTATGATATTTCTTTTTTCTCCTAATTCTTTATATATTTAATTCTTTTATTTCTTAATATTTTGTATTCTTATTTTTTCTGCTTTCTATTTTTATATTAATATAATACCATTATTATATTATTTCTATTATTAAATAATTCTTCTTCTTTTTCTAGTTTTTAATTATTATTTTTTATTCTTTTATATTTTTTATAATTAATATAATAGATTTTCTCTTTTTTTATCTTTATATATATTCACTTTCTTATACTTTATTTTCAATAATTTTTGATAATATAGGTTATACAAGTATTATTTTTTTTGATTTTTTCCATTTAAGCTTTTGTGTAATATTATATATATTCATAAATTATCTACTTTTTCTTCTTTTATTCTAAAGGTTTCTGTTATTAGCTTTTCTTTATATAACTTTAATATTTTGTTCTTTTATAACTTGTGATTTGTTTATTTTTGTAATTTATTTGTATTTCTTATTATGTGATTTTATTTCTATCTTGTATTATGTAATTATATCTTGCAACATATGATTTAGGGAATTATAAATCTATTTGACTTTTTAATTGATAGTTATTTCCTAATATTTAATGCTTTAGTTTTTTCATATTTATTGATAAAATCATGTAATATAATATTCCATGAATTTTTGACTCTACACTATTGTAAAAGCAAGTCTTTGACTTTATTTTTAGAAAAAATTAATGATTTTGAATAAGTATATATGATCAAATGTATTATATTCTTAATACTTTTTGAATAGTCACTTATTTTCTCATCTTTATTTTGTTTAAAAAAAGCTAGTAAACTTTCTTTAAATTATGGACCTAGAAATTTTATTATTAAGAATATCTTTTGCCAACTTTTTCCATTTTTGCGTAATCCAAAATCTAGAATAATTGGCATATGCATAATAATAATCAATATTTCAAAATATTAGACTTTACTAGAAAATTTTCGTGCAATTTGTAAACTGGTTAATTAACTAAATTCGGAGTTTTATTTGAATTTTTTTGAGATATTATAAACGTCTAATGTTATGGCAGTCTTCTGGAACTAAGGTGGGGTCGGTCCGGTCTAAAAGACCGGACTTTCATCTTTCTTTAGACCGAACCAATCTATAAGTCAGTCCTTGGACTGATCCTAAGACCGTTCTTGAGTCAGTCCTGATCCTAATTCTATTTTTATTCTGGACTGATTCATAAGTCCGGTCCTTGTGTCGCTTTTTTATATATTTTCTTAAATTTACGATATTTTACTGAATAATAACGTCAAAATGAAAAACGAGATTAAGAAGCGCAGTAATAGCTTTGTTAATTGTATTATGCAATTGTTTTATTAAATTTATAAAATTATTTCAAGGATGAATCTAATTGTAACAACATGTTACGCATCTTATTTGTAACAACTTCAATTTTATCCAATCAAAATTTAAGATCAGGTGTAATGTAAATAATTTAGCAAAAAAATTTTTTTTTAAAAATTTCAAGAAACTGTTTATAACTTAAAATTTTGAATATGAAGCTGTCTTTTGTACAATAAGTAAAAATTTTCCAAATTAAATTTTGCATATAAAAATTTTATTTATAAAATATTTAGAATAATTTATTATTAAGAAAAATAAAAAAGGATGTTACAAATAAGATATGTAACAATGTTGTTACAAATACATTTTTTCTTATTTCAATACTTGAATAAATTGATTATTAAAATGTATATATCAGGTTAGGTTACAGTTAATTTCATAATATCCGAGACTTTTCCAATAAAATTATAAGGATTTGAAAAAGCTAACCACATTTTATATGGGTAAAAAAATTATGTCGCTATATTCGGAACACTGATCCGAACGTAGCGATAATGTTTTTTCTTCAAAAAATTCTATACTGAGTTTTACCGAGTTTTTTTATCGATCTGCAAAATGATCGTCCGTCCCGTGACTTTTGAAATTAGCAATTTAGCTGTGAATATTTTTTTACAATATATGTTCTAAAACCGGACTTTAGAATAATGGTTTGTTTTTCCATTTGAAGCAATAATTATAATAGAGAATGTAATTTCTGTTTGAGAGACGGGAAAAATATAAATGATCTTTGTGTTACATGAATCTTTTATAAAAAGGAGTTCCGTCCTATAAAAGGAAGGATCTACACCATTCATTTACGCCGAAATCAATTTTTTTCGTATGATGGAACAATGTAACAGAACAATAACTGCATTATAATCATCAATAACTTTTTTCGTGTAAAAAGTTTAATTCTTTCGTAAATTGTCTTTAAAAAAGCAATAATGTCAAAGAACAATTCCATATATAATATATTGTGGCTTTTTATTCAATTATTAATTGAAGTAAATTGTCAAACGACTCCTTTTAATCCAATACAACGATATGGTCACACTGCTACACTTATTGAAAATAAAATATATTTTTTAGGTGGTCGAGATGAAGCTAATACTGTAAAAATTGGGACTGAATTTTTTTATCTTGACATTTCTGTTCCATTTAATACTCAAAATATATCATGTCATGACTTAACAAACATTAATAAAGTTCCAGCACATCTTTCTGCTGCATCTGTTAGAAGTGGTGCAAATAATAAAACCTTGTTTTTATATGGAGGGCAAACTTATAATAATGCAACAATGGATTTGGTCTATTCATATGATACACAGAGTAATTCATGGAGCACCATAAACTTGGCTAATGACAGTGCTATTAGAAAAAATAACCTAAAAGCTATAGTTGATAATAATGGGAAAATGTATTTATTCGGTGGGCGCTTCAATGTCACTCGTTATAATGATATGCTCATTTTAAATACAATAAGTTTGAAATGGGAAATAGGAACGACAGAAAATGCACCTTCTCCAAGAAGTCTTTATGGTGCAACTTACGTCTCAAAAATGTATATTGTTTATTTAGGCGGCTATTATGCCATATCAAATAAAGATGGTGTATCGTTATCATTAAAGGAGGTGAATTATTATTAGATATCTATACAAATTATAAAAGTTTGATAATTTATATCTTTTATTAACAATTCATTAACCTAGATCTACTACTATGATATGGTTGATGATATGTGGCTTACAAGGGTATGATTATTAACTATAATATTTTTAGTAGCAAAGTTTTACTTATCTATGGTTGATTTAATCAGGTGACTTCTGGTACAATTCCTTCTGATAGAGATTCTTTCTCTTCAGTTCTTGGTAAGAATTTTTTTTTTAAAAAAAAAAAATAATAATATATTGAACTTTCAGCTAATTGATGTATTATTTTACTTTTAATAAGGATTGGATGGGCAACGCATAATAATTTTTGGAGGAACTAATAATCTTAATAATCTTACACCTCGAGAAGCACTTTATGTATTGAACTTAGTAAATTTTGAATGGTCCATTCCAAAAGTTTCTGGAAAAATTCCAGGTTCTAGATATTGGCATCAAGCGAATGTGGTTAATAGATATATGGTTATATCATTTGGTAAATATCTTATGTATTTCTTTCTTTTGTCATTTAATTGTTTTTTACGTGTAATAATTTATTATAATTATAAACTCAATAGGATTTGATTATGATAAAAATGTGGATACTGATATCTTATTACTTGATATAAGTAATGATGAAGAATATATATGGACTACCTATTTCGATCCAAATGTTCCTCCTCCTTCACCGGAACCTACAAAAGTTTCACTAACACAAACTACTACTCCAATACCAGTTAAAATTGGAGTAGCTATAGGAACATGTCTAGTTATTATTTTTTCATTACTTGGAGGCTTTTACTTGTATAAATGGAATAAAAATAGAACGGAAAATTTAAGAGCAATACCAACTCCTGGAGGTGAAGGTAATAACTATTTTAATCATGAAGCTACCAGAAATAGCGTTTATAATCATGGACAAGAAACAATCCCAGCACATCAAAATGCTTATAATTATGGACAACGAATGTCATCGACACCGTAAACCTATTAGTTTCCTTCAATTGTTGATGATAAGATTTCATTTCTTATAATTTCAGGATGTTAGACAACAGGTTTTTGAATAAATGCTGTTAATTAGATTACTTTTTTTAGTATGTTTTAATTCTTTTGAATGTAAATTTATATATTATTATTTCTTTAATCGTACTTTACTTTAAAAAAAATTAAAATATACATAAAAGACTTAGAAGTAATATAACTTTAATGCATTGACGCTAACCCTACTTATTGAAAATTATATAATGATAAAGTTAACTGACTGTCCTTCTATATTGCGAAAACCTACGGAAGAATAATCTTAGACCGGACAAAAGCAAAGAACGTTAAATATGGATCACATGTGTTGATATTTATAAATTTTGAGTGTTTAAACTATAGTTGAGCTAGTATGGTTAAATTAAAAACTTTGTAAAATGCGGGCTTTTAAAAAGTCTCGTGATTTATTATCTTATCGTAAGAGAAAAATTATATTTATTTCATTTTCAGTAAATTGTTTATATAATATTACAATATTTCTTGCATAATTATTTGGCATGATTGAATAAGTTCATCAAACATTATTTTATATGGTGACTTTAAATCTGAGTTGTGTAAATTGCGGTAAAGGTAATAAATAATTTTTAATTTTTGCATACTCTGCAATTTTTTTTTTGTTTCGCAAACATTCGATGTATAGTTGCGGGGCAAAACCCTAAACCCATTTTGGCAAAAGTCGAAACTTTTCAGAAATTATTTCGACAGTTTCGAT